CCGAGCGGCACAAGACACGCAACGAAGCACAGAACAGGAAGCCAGAGATATCCTTCCGGCAGACTAGACCCAAGGTATCCGAAAAATGCGATCAGTATGAGAGCCACCCCCAGCAATTCCAATGTATTGGAAGCTTTAGGGAATGCCTTGCGTAACAAGATACCGTTAAATACTGCCGCAGAACCAACGGAGAGAGCCGCCGCCGCCAAGCGCCCTGCCAAAGGCAGCGACCCCAGATTGTAGTAGGCCATGAAGCCTGTCGCAATGGGGACGGCCATGACAAATATGTTCCTTCCGAGCTGCTCTTCGCGAAAAACTTGAACAATGGGGTGGTGGGGATTGGCAGTAGTATTGATGATCTCATTCTCTTGTGCTTGAGGGATTGTTGGAATGGCATTAATATAAGTACGATAGTTTGAGGACTTTTTGCTGGTGATTTTTCTGATGCTGGATTTGATTGTGTTCAACCGGCTCTTGACTTTGTATTGAGAAGAAGATGGTGATGAGGACATAATTCGTTGGGTGAGATCGACTATGGCGGCGGAGGAGGGGACATCAGACGACCCATTATCAGACTGGAAGCTGATCTCGGAAGATTGAGTGTGAGGTAAGGTTGAGGGGTCTTCACTGGTTCGTGGATTTGCAACTGATGATCCAGAACTGGCGTCAACGGCATCAGGAGTCGTAGATGATTCTGTGTGATGATTATGATTATCATGATGATCAGATTCAGGTGGTTTGTTGAAAGATGGGAATCTGATGATGTTGAAGAGGAAACTTGGTGGGGTCCCTAGTTTTGATTTAAGCAGCCTAGGAGGTTCCAGCAGCACTAGTCTAATATTTAACCATCTTGATCTAGTAGTGGGCACTGATATTGGTGGTGATTTCTGTGGGTTTGCCAGGGCTGCTACGACAAATTAGTTATCCAAAATTGTAAGAATGGTTTTTTGTACAAGGATAGCATGCAACTATTTATAAAAATTTTATAGGGCCTTGAAATTTTCTTTAATTAGCATTAGCGTTATTATTTTTGTATGGTTGAGTATTTCGATATGGCTTTAGTAATAGAGAGAGATAAGTAGCCAGTAGGTGTAGCAAAAGAATTATTAATTTCTTCTAGAATAAATTCAAAAAAAAAAAAATTTCTTCTAGAAGGGGATATGCTAGAAAATCAAATGTAGATTTATACAAATGTTTTAATGAACATCGCTACTTAATGGAAACTACCTTGAATACTACAATTTGACATGTAACTATGTTAAGTAAAGTACTAAAATGACCTCCAAAACTTCCAAATAATCAATTAAAACATGATTTAAGACTACCGATCAATGCTATTTGGTTTTTTACTAGCTAGTGATTTCTCCTTAATTATAAAAGAAAAATGTTTATAGCAGCCACGTTCTAGAAGAAATTAGTTCGTTTAATACATCACACTTTCACTTTAAAAATTATCGCTGCTTACTGTGTTGTTTGTAGACGCGAAAATGATAGATTCATACCATATGAATAGAAAAATATAGAAGCTTAATTGGACTAACTAGCAAACTGTCAAGAGATAATCCGAAACACGGAATATAACTAATGTAAAGTCCTATTCTAACTTTCAGCATTAGTAATTTAGTATCTAAGTCTAGGTCGTTCAGGATAAGTATTATTATAAGCAAATTATGAAAATTGTAAAACTTGGGGCTTAAGCAAGTGACTACGCATGCCTTGCAGGGATGTAAGTTGGTGTTTGGACGTAGTGCTAGGCGAAATAAAATAATAATGATGATTGATTAACTAACTAATTACTATTAGTATTACTAGATGCTTCTACTATCTTGACCAGATTCATAACATCTGGAAGTAAATTATAGATTAAATGTGACTGGATTTGATAAGAGAATTGTTCTTGCAATATTGTTGTTTGATAACCGGAGAATTGGTCAAAGTACAATATGTAGAAGGCTCATCACACATAAACTCACACCAGGTACAAAACTATTGAAGCATAAAATAATACCAAGGATTATTTATATAATTGCCCCCCGAATTATTGTACCCAACTTCAAAATGCTTTTTAATTTTTAAAACAGTTCAAAACGTCTTTGATCTATAGAAAACGTGTGAAAATACCCCTTATGTTTACTTCCATATATAAACGAGGGAATTGCTGATGTGGCGAGGATTTAAAGATTTTTTTATTTGATAAATGGGTATTTGATAAAAGTATTAAATTTTAAAAAAAGTTAACAAAACCAGAAGTTGAACAAATCAGTGAGCTTTTTTTATTTCTTTTTTTGTAAAAAAGAAAAATCAAATGAAAACTCCAGGAAACCCCCATCAAACAAAACCCAGGAAATTAATGACACGCACAAATCTAAATCCATGTTTGTTGACACTCTACCTTCCCATCGTGAAACCATCCTTGTCGAACCCATCCTCTCACTCTCGATAGTGGTCTCGGACCCATTAGCGAAAGCGGTTGCGTTGAAGAAGGTGTGGCGATGGAGGTAGGAGCGAGGGGCTCGCGTTGTTCGCACGACAAGGCTTGGCTCATGACGACGACAGATACTGGGCTGCTCAGGCTACGGTGATGCTTGACGTCCGATTCGATGGGTCTTGGCGGCCGTGGATCTAGGCATAAGGTTCAACGGCCATAAATCTAGGGATTCTTGATTATTGGGAACTGATTCGTTAGTTCTCTCTTTTTTTTTTTTTTTTGCTCTGTTTTCTCATTGAATCTGAACGTTTATGCCTATTCGGTTCTTGGGGAGTATTACCAGGGAAGTGGGAAAAGTCTCATCTATGTACAGTTATTGGAACTTGGAAGCAAGACACCATGTTTGTCAATTAGTTCGAAATGGCCCTCAATCCGCAGGGCTTTTGTGTTTTTGGTCCTATTTGCACACGCTTGTCGAGGATTTTGTCTCCCATGAAGCTACACGCACACATGTTCCAAATGCCAAAGCTAATTCCTTGACCTCCATTGAAACTGAGCTTCTATTTAGCTACTACAGTCTCCCTTACTGTAAACCCAGTGGTGGTATCAAGAAAAGCGCCGAGAATCTCGGCGAACTTCTTGTGGAGATCAAATCAACAACTCCCCTTTTCTCTTTTTTTGTAATTTTAAATATTTAAGCATTTTTATATGTTTAATTAGAATTTAATGGTTTTAATTGATGATTAATGATTGTCACGTTGGCACTTCTGTTAAATGTACAGACAGATTGGACGGAGGAGATAGTTTGATCTTTTTTTTATAAATTAAGAATTGTTTTGAATCATTTTAAAAAATTAACAGACATTTTAAAATAAAATACATAATTTAAGAAGTATTTATGAAAATAATCATAATACCTATATCACAACATTCGGTCAATTTACGTTTATAAAAGAAAAAAGCAGAATACGGTACTGTATCATCTACCACATATACATCATCAATAGGATAAGCATAACGCATAGTCAACAAACGTACGCCAAAAGAAAACGACGAAGAAAAGGTCATCATAATGTGTTAGCTGAAGAAAAGGTCATCATAATGTATGTGTTAGCTACAATCGGGCATTATATTTTATACGAGTAGAAACTCTACGAAGGTACAATCGTTTGCTTCTCAATATCAAGCCTTGGAGATGTATGGAAATAATCTATATCCGTACAAAGAAACAGGCCAAGTCGAGAAGTTGATATTATGGGCATCAGTAGCCACAGTTTTTGGACTAATCCAATTACCATACCAAAAGATAGATGGGAATCTAGTTCCCACTATCCTATTTAAGAATAGGCCGTCAATGTTCCATGCTTTTATCTTGTCACTCAATTTCTCCTTCTTTGGTTCCTTCACAACCATCTCTTTACGCCAAAGATACCCAAGACTGGCCCGGTGTTGCCTTGTCTTAGCCATGGTGTCTACGACCATAGGATTTTCCATTTTGGCGTGGCTCATTTTAGTACCGTCGGTTTACAAATTCCGAGCAGCTTTCTGTTAATTAATAAGCTTGCCTTTTGAGTTTTGACCCTTTCTTGGATTTTTATTTTATTTTAATAATAATATGTGAGATGGCTCCGTGCGGTCAAGATGGGGGTTTTCGCGAGTGTCGGCCTAGATGTGCTAATAAGATGATAATTGCTTCTCTTTTCATTTAAAAAGCTTTCTACATAGTTGTGGTTGTATGGTTTTCTTTCCTTGTCCAAGGCAGTGGAGAAGCGAGAGTTTAAATTCAGAAGGTAAGCACAGTATGTGTTTGTGTGAGCTATCCAGGCTCTTTTTTTTTTTTTTTGGCTCAAGCGTGTGTATCTATATTTTTGCACAATTCATAACGCATGCATACATACATATATAGATGTATATTAACATATATATATATATATGTGTGTGTGTGTGTGTGTGTGTGTGTGTGTGTAAGACTGGTTAGTGTGCATGTTGTAGAAGTACTTGAAGTGTATCCTATTGCTTATTGTATCATACTATTTGCTATGAAGTAACATTTGCTATTGTATATTCAGTGGACTCCTGAGCTACTGACTATATTTTGATGTAAGCTCCTTCAGTGGGTGCATCAGCAGAAAGCAAATCAGGCTATCCTATTCAGTAATCTCGAATAAGAATCTGTTTTCTTTGTAATCCTGGGGGTTGATCTTATGTTTCTTGTTCTTTGTTCGACAAGTTCTGTTTTCTTAATTTGACTAAAACTATTCTCATTTGTAGCCAAAAAAACAAAAAACAAGACAAAACAAAAACAAAAACAAAAAACAATACGGTGATATATGGCCTGAGATAGGAGCGCCTGATTTCATCTAATATGGACGTGAAATTCACACGACCTTTACAGATTAAGAGCTTACGCATTGTCCTGATGTGATCCCAAGAAATTAGAAATCTTTTAAGAAAAAGAATTCAGGGAGATGATTAATGCATCATATAAGAGTAATCCCATCAAATTTTTCTAGATACAATTGAAGCTTGAACAAATTCCTAGAATTTTAAAAACAAGTATTAACATGGCGTATACAAAAGACAGAGCTACGAAACGGTTAATTAGGCTTCACCAATATACAGATCGCCTCTTGTTAAATAAAGAATTGAAGCAAATATCTAATTGAGAATATCCAAGTGAAAATATCACATATGATGTAACAGTTATAACTGTCAATTGCATTAAAGCATTCTTGTCTGAAGAGCTACACGAGTCTGGTTAAGTCTAGTCAAGAATCGTCTCAATGCACCGACCACAGGAAGAGGGTTTTCTAGATGGACTGCATGCCCACAGTTTGGTATCTCAACCATTTCATAAATATCACTAGGTGGGCCATTTTCATTCTCTCTATAACCATGAATTTCATAGGACATATCTTGAGCTATTCTCTTGAATTTCTCGTCTTTTCCTCCGACAATGATCAAAAGGGGTGTTTTGCTATGCTTCAAGTCATCCCACAACGGTCTGTTATGCGAGAAATCCCAAGTTATATTTTGTGATATTTTTGACGATTGAAATAGAATATTGGAAACTACAAAGAAAGAACTATGTGTGGTGTCACTGGATTGATAGGTTAGCTGCTTCAAGACAATAGTTTAGTAGTGAAGTTTTATCAAATGTTAAAAACTGTCATAACAGGGAATGGCAACGGTTTCTAGAGGCAAGAGAATTTTTGGAACACGGACAAGTCTGTCATAATATGAAGGCGTAAATATCAAGCAAAGAACCTCTAATATTATATTATTAGAGTGATTGAATTGGCTAAGTTGGAGCCTATAGAAATGGGACATTATCACGTATTTGACACCAATACGATGAAATTTTGTGCCAACAGGTTGCAATTCTAGGAGCATAGAGATGAAGAAATTGGGTTTTTTCAATAACAAATTATATGATCGGCAGATTTTTTCAGTGCATTCCAATAGCAAACAAGAGCCTCAACAAATTCAAGTGAAAATAAAAATAAAAATAAATAAAAGCAAAACCCTTACCTGTTGCATGCACAAAAAGAATTGATTTAAAATGAAAGAAACATTCTTTCAAAAAATATAAAAAACATAATTTAAAAACGAAACTCAAGAAGAAGTGGAACTTACTGCTGTCTGCCAGTGCTTGAATCAGACAGGACTTTTGCAAGACTAGGCACGTCTTCATGATGATGAAGGCGGCTACCAACTATTTGATTAAATTTGGGGTGTTCTCTTAAGCTTCCCAATGCACAAACCATCAAGTGTACACATATGTTAGTAATAAAGTATGGCATACTTAAAATGTCAGAATCGAGACAACCAAGCAGAAAAGGGATAAATCAGTCAAATATATATCACCTATTCCACAGCTGTCCAGCATACCAGGAGTCCAGAAATCGGTCTAAACCATATGAAACAAGGAACCGTGCTCGAGAATCATCTACAGCTCTACGTATTTTTCTTGCCACTTCATCTTTTAATCCAGGGCTTCCCGATATTACAACAGCTCCATTGACCTTCACAATAGATGATAGTTTCTTACCAATTTAAACAAGAAAAACTTGAATTGCCAATGGATATCTTGAGGTTTATATACCTTGTCAGGAAACCTCAGAGCCATGAACAATGCAATCCTTGCTCCCATTGAGTATCCTATGACAGTAACTTTCTCTGGTGTAATTTCATGAATCAGTTTCCTTACTACCTCAGCAACTACCTCAATTGATAAACTTGATTCAAGTATGGCGTTCTCATCATCATGATTTAGTATCCGTGAACTCCCATGTCCTGGAAGGTCAATCGAAATGCATCTAGCTCCTCTCGAGGCAGCTTTCGTGATAGCAATCCAGTCTTCACCAGTTCCAAGAAATCCATGAAGAAATACAAGTACGTTATCCTGCATCAGTTTGATTATGTAAGTGTGAGCAAGCAGTGTTGCAGCAGCAGCACTAATACATCAAAATCTACGCCGATGGCATCTCTAGCAACTAAACTAGTTGGCTGATGTAAAAAGGTGCAATGGAACTATAGAGATGGCAACGTGGCTCCTTATTTTTATTAATAGAAAACAGCCCACAATGGACATTCGGCGTCCTAATTTTTCTCCAGTCACTAACCTTGACAATACATTCAAGAGGAAAAGTATCCAACCAACCTAAAGAGCCTTAACAAGTTTCAGTGTTACTGCTTCAGTTTTGGCATGCATCTTCTAAATCTCTATGTGCCAAAACACACAAGACACGCTCAGACAAATGCACAAAACATGCAAAGGAAAACAGTAAAGCATGCATAAAAGGTAATGTCTACTAACATGAGATATCTGTCCAATTTCCTGAACGTTGATGTAATAAGAAATGCCATTAAAATCCACGGGAAGTCGGTATCTACGAACTTCCTCTCCTGTATAGTCTCCATGAATTATCATACGATTAATTTGAAATGACTGCAGAAGTCGATTAGCATCAGCAACTGATGCTTCTACAATGCCGCTATATGGATTGCAACTTATCTTGAGAGGAGTTGTAGCCACATCTTCTTTAAGCCATTGGTACGTTCCTAGACCATGCGCTACAGATGGGCCCATCTTATTGCTCATTAATTTGCATATCTCTGCATTCTTCTGCTCAAGATAACATGATAAATGAATATATGCTGACAAGCCTAGGCCACTTTCAAAGGTAGAGCTAATAACAGCCATTTTCTCATGCTGCTGCGCCCACTGGGCTATCAATGCTGCACTCTCAAAGCCACCAACAACACTTGGTTTTATGACCTGAAAATTAACCAATATTGGAATCTATACCTGGAAGAAACTGATAAAATTTTTCACAATCCATCAAAATTTTCAGTGAAACATAATCTCTAAAAGATGTAAACCACTACTTGATTGTTTTACCATCAATTTTTTTAAGTTTAATTTATATATACTGGGACTATATATCTTAAGATTCGTGCATTTCTACCTAGAAAAACTTCTCGATGTAATATAACAAAGTTTGCCAGAAGAAATGTGCCGAGATACACAAATATAGTTTATCCATATATCATACCAAGAAAATTATAACTTACAATGGCAACTATTCCCGGATGAGTATATTTCATTAGTATATTAAGTGGATTTTCTTGAATACAATCAATAGTTTCATCCAATGCCACGGGTAACCCACTTTCTTCAAAGAACTTGATAATATCACCCTCATCCTTAACAGGTTCCTGAAATGCAGGAATGTCAAAGGCTATAGTTACATTTACCAAAAAAAAAGAAAAAAAAAAAAAAGATAAACCACAAAGAAAAGTATCAAAACTCCTAAATCAATTGAAGGTAGAAGAAGAAGCACAAATTGAATATTCAAGAAGAAAGCATGACAACCACCAAGGACAATATAAAACACAAAGTATACACAATATTATCATCTATCACCGCGACATATTAGATATAGTAACTATCTGTGAGATATACCTCAATATACTGCAGATCACAATCCTTCACTAAGGAACCAAATTGGATAGCTTCTTCATAGGTCCAGTTCCGGTTGGCATCTACACGAAGTTCAATCTGGTCTCCAATCTTCTTTCTTACTTCCTGTATAACTTCAGCATCATGAGTGGGACTTCCCCGACGAGCTACCTGTTCAATAATTGAAGCATAATAACTAACATGCAAACCAATAATTCCATCAGATCCAAACCTTCTATTTGTCAAGTTAATGGTGCGGAATACCAGGATTCAAATTGTTATGGTGATTGGTGACATAAACTGACCTTCAGCTTTATTGCCGCAAAACCTTCTTTAACAAGTGCGGCAACAACATCAGCTACCTCAGTGGGTGTCCCGTCAGAATCAACAAGGCCACAAATTTTAACTTTTGGTGGAGCTTCAGCGATACCTTCTTCATCATCTTGAACATGAAGTAGGCTTAATAGGTCAAGACCATGTCTTGTTGCCAAGGAATTAAGAATAGCCAATTCCAAACCACATCTGACACTTGTAAAGAGTGATGATGGCTGTACAACACCCAAAAATGGAAGACATCAAGAAGTTAGGTGAACGCAGATATTAATTAATCTGCCTTGCTTTATTAATCGAATGAAAGTACACTTAAATAGATTAGGGTTTGACCACCAAGTCTATTATCTTCTCCTAGGTTCACGGTAGAAAGATTTCTACCAACTAATCTACTTTATTTGAATTTAAACTACAAACTGATAACTCCTAATCTATATAATCGGAAAATAACAAACTAATTAAAAAGCTATTTGACTTATTCAAACTCTCTCTAAAAAGATCTTATCTGCTAACACTCCCCCTCAAGCTGTAGATATCAATGAGCCTAAGCTTGCCTACAAAGTATTCGAGTGTTGGTCCAGGAAGTCCTTTGGTGAGTATATTTGCAACCTGTTGGCTTGCAGGAATGTACTCAATGCTGATAATTCCCTTCTCTAGTTTTTCAGTAATAAAGTGTTTGTCCACCTCCACATGTTTAGTTCTATCATGATGGACTAAGCTGTGTGCTATGCTGATTGTAGCCTTGTTATCACAATAGAGCTGCATAGGAAACTCACAACTGATCTTCAACTCTTCTAGCAACCGTTTCAACCAAATTGCTTCACACATACCATGAGCCATGGCTCTGTATTCAGCTTCAGCACTGCTCCTTGCTACTACAAACTGCTTTTTACTGCGCCAAGTCACCAAATTCCCCCAGAGGCGTGTGCAATATCCGGATGTTGATTTCCTATCTTTGACATATCCGGCCCAATCTGCATCAATGAAGATTTCCACCCTTCTATTTTCTTCTTTTCCAAAAAATAATCCTCTTCCCGGAGTCTTCTTGAGGTATCTCAATATTCGATAAATAGCTTCGAAGTGTCCTTGGCACGGTGAATGCATTTGTTGGCTTACCACGCTAACTGTAAAGGCGTATGCGCGAGGTATATTAGTTTTCCCACTAGCCGTTGATATCTTTCTCTATCAGCCATCTCTCCATCAATCATTTTTGCTTTGCCTCCTTGTTCAATTGGAGTCTCTATTGGTTTGCACCCCAGCATACCCGTTTCTTGCAATAGGTCTAGTGTATACCTTCTTTGTGATATGGAGATTCCCCTCTTGCTTCTTGCGACTTCCATTCCCAAGAAATATCTCAGTGTCCCGAGATCTTTAACTTCAAACTCCATAGCCATCAATCTTTTAATTTTCTCCATTTCTTCAAAGTTGTCCCCGGTAAGTATTATATCATCTACATATACTATTAGGACTGTGATTTTTCCATCTAATGAGTGCTTAACAAACGTGTGATCAGTTTGTCCCTGTGAGTATCCGTGGCTTTTAATCACCTTTGAAAATCTATCGAACCATGCGCGCGGAGACTGCTTTAGTCCATATAGCGATTTTTTCAGCTTGCACACCATCTTGTCTCTCTTTCCCTCTTCAAACCCGGGTGGTAGGCTCATATATACTTCTTCCTCCAATTCACCATTTAAGAAAGCATTCTTCACATCGAGTTGAACAAAGGCCAATCCACATTTGCTACTAGAGATAAGAGGACCCTTATTGTGTTAAACTTTGCAATGGGAGCAAATGTCTCAGTGTAATCGACTCCATAAGTTTGTGTGAAACCTTTTGCAACGAGTCGTGCTTTGTATCTGGGGAATTTCCCTCAAAGTTAGCATATTTAGAATATTTTATAGGAGGAAATCAGTGGATTAGAGAATCCGGATTTTCCTATTCTGATTTCTTGAGTTTAGGAGGATAGTTTCCTTTTCCTTATTTTTAGGGATTTGTTACCTTTGTTAGTTATGTAAATTGTGTATATAAATGTGTATTGGTTACCGACTAAATTCAATGAGAAAAAGAAGATTATTCTTCCTCAAAATCTTCATGGTATCAGAGCCTGGTTTTCTGAGAAAAAAAACCCTAGCCTCCATTCCCAACCGTCCCTCATAGCCCCTTATAGCCCCTTATGAACTCATTCTCTATGTCCACAAGGTAGTAAAGCCCCTTATGAACTCTAGCACTGCTAATCGTCCTCCCCGATGATAGGTCCTGAAAATAACATGTAGAAGAGTGAAAAATGGCAGAACAGTTATTATCACGAGTGAGTTTACTTATGGACAACAAGTTGCATCTTAAGATAGGAACATGAAGAACCGACTCAAGTGTTAAGTCTTTGGATACTTTGATTGAACCTATTCCAGCAACAAAAGACAAGGATCCATCTGCAATTTTTACTTTAGCAGAACTATGACTAGGGGTATAAGAGAGAAAAGATTCAGAGACACCTATCATATGGTCGGAGGCATCAGAATCAATGATCCAGGGTTCCTTAGAGTGAAGGGTAGACTTTAAGGATGAGTGAAAGTTACCAATTTGGGCTACAGAACAGGATCCGAGACTTGGAGTTGATGAGGATGAGGATGGTGATTGGTTGAGGAGGCGATAGAGTTGCTCAATCTGTTCTTTGCTAAACGGAAGCGATTTCTGGTTTTCTGTTGCTGCTCCTTTGTCTTGGATATCTGGTTTTCTGTTGCTGCTCCTTTGACTTGGTTTGATTGAGTTTGAAGCGCTCGTCCTTCATTCTGTCTTCGAGGAAACCCAATTTGCGGGTTTACCATGAATTTTCCAACATATGTCACAAGTATGTCCTTGTCGGTTACAATGGTCACACCACATTCGTTCTCCTCGCCGTGGGGTTCTAGAGTCACTGTTGTTCCTTGCTGGTTGTGAAGTGTTTCTGGTTGCCAGAGCCGAGCCTTCTGTTGATGCTACACTGGATGATTCTTCTTCTGACAACATGACTTTCCGGCGATTTTCTTCTCTACGAACCTTGGCAAAAGCTTCTTCGGTTGTTGGGAATGGAACTCTGCTTAAAACACGGCCCCTGACTTCGTCAAGATCTCGATCAATCCAGCAAGGAAATCAAGTACCCGTTCTTTTTCAAGAATATGTCTCTGCTTCACATTGCAAGTTGGACACACTGAATCTTCTTCAAGAAAAAGGTCTAGTTCCTGCCAACAGTCTTGCAAATCAGTGAAATACTGGGTAACCAATTTGGTTCACTATTTCATCTCCTTCAGTTTCGTGTGAATTTCAAAAACTTGTGACATTGTCGAGATCGAAATATGTTCTTTTTGCAGTATTCCATACGTCTTTAGCGGTCGGGAGGAAGAGATATCGGCGGCTGATCATGGGCTCCATGGAGTTGATAAGCCATGCGTGTACAATCGAGTTTTCGGCAAACCACTTTTTGTATGCAGGATCGGTCGGTGCTGGAACTTTAGCTTCACCAGTGATGCATTCGAATTTTCCCCCACCACAGATCACAATCTTTACTGACTGAGACCATTGAAGGTAATTTTTTCCATTAAGTTTGTGAGCCGTAATCTGGAGTGAGTTATTGTCTCCACCTTGAAATGCCGTGACGGACTGATCGGCGTGAGTTTTGTCGGGGTTTTCTGATTTGGAATCATCTCCATGTGAAGATCCCATCATGGCTATTTTTGCCATTGAAGTACTCAGAGTTCAAGGCTCTGATACCATGAACGCATATATTAATTAATCTGCCTTGCTTTATTAATCGAATGAAAGTACACTTAAATAGACTAGGGTTTGACCACCGAGTCTATTATCTTCTCCTAGGTTCACGGTAGAAAGATTTCTACCAACTAATCTACTTTATTTGAATTTAAACTACAAACTGATAACTCCTAATCTATATAATCGGAAAATAGCAAACTAATTAAAAAGCTATTTGACTTACTCAAACTCTCTCTAAAAAGATCTTATCTGCTAAGATTAGGTATGGAGCATATGGCACTGCTGTATTATAATAATGACCTACCGGGATTCCCAAGTTGCTCCATATCCAAGAGGAAAATGAACCCTTTAGCAGAGGCAGGAAGCAACTAATTTCAGTCCCTTCAATTTGATGAAGAAGAAACCTTAGTTGCTCTTCTACATCTATCAGGTTTTCTTTGCTGATATCTAGAGGAGAAACCTGTTAATATGACTAAAAACTGATTAGAGGTTTATAAATATTCAGTCTTCCCTTGTCTTGAGATGGGTGGAGGGCTGTGGGGGAATGTAGTACAAATGCATGGAAAAATGAAGAAATCTTGACATAAATTTTAAAGGATAGGGATCGAGGATCAAGAACACATAAAGTACACCATTCTGCAAGGTTGAAAACATAGGTTTCCCTGGAGATGCCTATTAGCTATTGGAATCCAAATACTAGCATGCGGTGAGGAGAGCACAACACTAACCTCGCCATATCCAACACGTCCATCTTCAAGAGATAAGGACAAAATAAATCCTTCTCTGTAGAAGATGGTCTTGTTATGATCAACAGTACTCATAGTAGGAGGAGCCCGTAGCGGTAATCTGTAATCAAACACAACAGAAATAGATAAAAGTATTCATTCCTGTAAAGTTATCTACAAAAACATACATAATTCCAGAGAAGAATCACCTGAATGTAAAGTACTTGATCGAACGTACTTTTAAACAAGAAACAACATCTGATTCAAAGTCTTGAACTCGACACCTTAGAAGGAACCTGAAAGTGTCATCTGCCACTTGGCATGCGAATTTCCTCACAGTACTGAGATAAGAAGCACAATTTTTCTGCAATCAATAAATAAGCTCACGGCTGAAATAAAAATTATATCGAAAAGTAACATAACTAATAACCTGTGAAAGGTAGCATTGGCATCAATAGAACTTGAAACCTCAATTACGCAATCATCTTCTTCAGCTTGAGATGAAAATAATGCATCATGAAGCTCTGCCTTTGTCTGTACTTCCAAATGCTTCACACTGCAGAGTTGGTTAACAAGAACTGAACTCATAAATATAGCTAATGGGAAATTAAGATGAACATATGACAACGTGCAAAAGACAGTTTCTGTGCAGGAAAAATTCATGTATCAAAGCACATTCTTAAACCACGAAACTAGACTTCTACTTTGGGTTGCAAATTTAGCTCCACATGTTTCCTTCAACAGAAACAAGCTTGGTAAAAATCTAAAAAGTCCAAACATGTCTAGTCACATTAAACCTGTTTCCCAGAAAATTATCCATGCAAATATATTCCCAACCCAAAATAATCTTCATCCCATATTTATATTTGACAACAAGAAACATTTTCCATAGTCTATTATAGAGAAACTCATGGCTGCACTATCACATGAAAGAAAATTACAAGAGGAAAAACTAAAAAGAAAATTAAATGGAAGCCCATATAATGCAGTATGCACAAGTTTATTTATGAAATAGTTATAGAGCGTTTCACCTGTGTGCCATACACAGACTGCGGATTGAAATGTTATGAGAGGTGTAGAAATAATTATTTAGTATTCTTTCTTCAGTTCTTTCAGCAATTGGAAGGAGGCTGAATATTGCACCACCATGGTTGTTAATCACAACTACTGTAATTGGTTTCCGTGACACCCTGCACATATAGTAGATTTCTTGACATTGAAGTTATATTGTAGATTGCATTTCTTACTTATAGACAGATGCTAATAAATATTGAGTATGGAACGTCACATTGACTAACAAATACTTAAAGAATGAAAAACATGCTGCTAATCTTACAAGGGAAATAGTTGCCGGTATCAAGTTCCACCAAACAACAATAAGAGGATTTGAAAAAAAGAAAAAGAAAAAATGAACCACAAAATAATAACCCAAGCCTGGAAAACCAAATTGATAAGCTCCCTACCTTTGGTTCAAAATTGCCAACCCATTGGTATCATGAAGAAAAGAAACATCTCCAATAACACAGATAACCTGAATATTAAGTCAGAATTATGATAATTCAGTTTTCTTAGGTAGGAAAAGGAAATAGGAAAAAGAAAGAAAATAGAACCTCTACAGAAGGAAAGAATCCATTGAAGAGTGACTAAAATATTTCTCAGATTATGTCTGCCATAACTAGTCCCCAGCAATGACCAAAAAATATGATCACCCAGGTCCTTACCCGTTTATTGCATCCTACGGCAAAGCCAACAGCTGTACTAATCAAGCCATCAATACCACTAGCTCCTCTGTTCCCAACCACCCAAATCAAACGAAAAAATGGTTCCGAGTTTAAAATCATAGCTGAAGTATTATGTGTACATCTTGACCATCCATGCCCATACATGTCTGCATCACGTATTGCCATACTATTTCCAACGAAAAGAGCAGTGTCATATGAAAGTGCTTCCGAAATTATACGTGCAACTTGAGGTTCAGTCAAGGAATATTCAGCAGAAATTTGAAATGACAACTCCCTGCCAACCTACAAAACAGGGGTAAAAAAACTAATAAGGGCACAAAAACACAACCCCCAGAGCAGCTGAATTCATTGATCTTTTAACGTTTTCAGTTTCCGTCCTTTTTGGACAGAACAAGTCCGCAGGAGAGAGAACAGAGTTCACTTTCTCAAAAAAAGTGCCAAATATTTATGGCCCACAATAAACTCATAAATTAATGCAAAGACATCAAATCAAATAGAAAACCAAACTATAGAAATCTCCTCCCAGAAATTAGTGATTAATGGGGGTACATTTACACCATGCAACAAGACTTTGAAAGAATATATGAACAATGAACTAGACCACAATTTTGTCTGGTATGATCGTGTGACTTTAGCTGCATTCTAATGTTTATCCTGGCTCAGCAGTTCACTTTGGAACCCCAAACCAGCAAGATAACATGAGGAAGTTGCTATACTAAATTAGAAAAGAGTAAAGTAAATGATTACCATCAGATTGACTACTTGTAGATAAGTGCTCCATCCATTTCTCTGGTATGTAAATTCAACTTTCAGTAAATGATTAGCAAACTCGACAATTCCACTTTGTACCCTATGTGTTACAATATGAGAAGGATCATAACGAAATGGATGATTGTCAACCATGATATAAGAGCATGGAAAGAATCCCTCTAGCATTTTTGAAACACGCTGACTTGTAATCCTACTCCCAATCTGTTTGTAATACACATTAAGAAGCCATGCAATCAAAGAGGGAAAGTAAAAATAAAAATAATAATAATAATAATAATAATAATAATAATAATAATAATAATAATAATAATGGTGTAATTGGAGCAGGAGTGAAATGCACAATCCACAAGGATGCCAATTACAAGACCAATGCAATATATTAATTCTTTTTTTTCCTTAAATTTTAGGCTTAAGAAACTTATTCTATTAACCGAATTCTTAAAACAGTTCAGAATACCTGAAGAATCACGTCGATGTTTATCCAATCACTGACAAAATCTGACAACAGAACATGATCAAGATGATCAATGAATATTGTATTATCTTCGATTTCAGGAAAAGAAGTCAACAGCTTTCGCAATCGTAGTCCTGACAAGATATCAGCCACAACAGGCCATAAAAGGTGTTTAGCCAAGAGAAGAACTGCCCACATCTCATCTACTGTATGAATAGCACCAATAAGGAGAATCCCTTTGTTAGCGGTCTGAATCAAATTTACAATGTCTATTATTTCTTGAGGACTATCAGTACATGCATGAGCACATTGGACATCAAAATACTTGGTAAATGGCTCAGCACTAGACATCCAGAAGTCTAATCCTTTTAAACAGCTTGATGTCCATTCGCTGGGACTATTTTCCAGTGGCTCCCTAAAAGGACAGTTGATATGGACAGGGCCACAAGGTGAAGAGGTTGCCCAATGTACAGCAGAGTCAACTGTTGTAAGTACCATCCTTGCAGGAACGCAGTCAGCGGCTGCGGGAAGGCTGAAGAAGAACCTCACAAATGAACCAAAATGCTTTACCTGGTTTTCCAAATACAACAATGTAAATTTAGGGGACGGGAGAATATATATCTGTGGAGTGTCCTCTGACAAAAACTGTGAAGTTTCAACCATTTATTGCACTAGACTTTGACGATAAATAAAAAACCAAAGCAAATTTTTTTTCCCTCTTCTTACAAGATGTGAGATCAATCTCGCAGATATATCATGATGAACCAGTTTCGAGATGCTGCCCCATGGTAAAAAAATATTTATACACACAATATTTTTGTCTCAATGAGAAACAAAAATGATAATACTTATGGATGAAGTCATCAGACCTGATTTATAGCTTGGTTAGCTCCAGCATCTTGCAACTCAGATGGACGATCAGCCGTGAGTAATAGAAGAGGTATGAAATCTTGATAAGCCTCAACAACCTAAACATTATATGTTCGGTCATCACTAAAGGATAACAAACTCAAACTATATTACTGGTTATGAATAGCGTCTTCCATTTAGAAGCAAACGGCCATATATTAGGTTTTAGGAAAACTAAAAATGAATGGAATGTTGTATAGTTGCTACAGTGAACAAAACCAAAGGCCTAGTACTATGTCGCCTATTCTGTACCGCAGTTCCACAACCACAAAATGATGAATCATTCAGAGTAGTGGTAAAAAAGAAAGGGGAAAAAACACTATTAAAATCCTGTTTGTCCCAAAAAAAAACATGCATCTTACAGATGAAAATTCCCTACAAAAATTTAAAAGAACTCACAGCAGGAAGAAGATTTGAAACTGCAGTTCCTGATGACGTTATGACTACCGCTGGCTTGCGAGATCCTCTGGCATAACCAACAGCATGAAATGCAAGTGAGCGCTCATCAAAACACGGGATACATGTAATAAGTGGATGAGTGGAAGCAGCAACGGCGAGGGGAGATGATCTCGACCCTGGAGCTAGACAAAAATACTATAATGAAATTAATCAGATTCATGTGCCAAAATGATAGAACAAAGAGAGAAAAACTTGGCCTCACCGTCAAACCAAGACGAGAGAATTCTTCAACTATAAGTGAGGCCCAAACAGTATTTATGTTGGCACAATCTTGCACTGAGTAACAGACTCCACTTGCTTGATCCAACTGATAGAAGAAACATAGACAAAATCTGAACATCTTCACTTATATGTTTCCTTTGATGTTATTCAAATAAAATAACAATATAAACGAAAAGATACAAGTCAAAAGCATGCTACCGAATCGGTCAGGAAAAGACAGAATTGACTAGCTTAAATATCTGATAAAGACACTGACTAGCTTAAATATATGATAAAGACAGCAAAGCAGTAATCTTCTTCAAGCAAAAAGTTATCTCACAGTGGATGGAATATTATAATCTCTTTCCACCTCCCAAAAACCCCTTTCTCATGAATGTGCTCCGGTTATAAATGTGGCTTTTCCTTTATTCTTTCAGACCTTCAGTTAGTGAGTAATACTTAGCCTCTCCAACTTCCATCCTTGTGCATTTAATGTTACACTCTAACAATCTTCGACAATTCCAATTGTCCCCGTTGCAGGTACTTGGCATTTGGCCAAGCTACTTGCTTATATACTTCGGGGACGTTTGGTTCATAGATTGAGAACCATGATTCAGAATCATTCTCGTTTTACGTGTATTTTTTGTGAAAGAAAATACTGTAGCGAACCACGAACCATGATTCGAATCATAGCACGAATTCCCCTTCCAAACGTCTCATTCTAGTTTTGAAGGAAACACAAATTTTACAAAAAATACTCCCTTAAATTCACAGACGTGATATTAACATACCATGTTTCTGGCAACAACAACATCTGCTGAAAGCCTAACACAGAACTGCCTGGAAGATGGAGCCTCCTGCACGTGAAGTAAATCACATTGATGAACAAAACACGATGGTTTCAGCACAGAATATCAGCAGAGCAATAACATTTTTGTAGCTTACTTAGCAGTTATAGGTGCAACTCCTTAGAACAGGTTGGATATAAATCATTGAGGATGAAAAATTACCAGGAAAAAGGGGGTACCAGTTCTTTGAAGTTATCCACAACATACTTCCCACCTGGTGAAAGAGCGTTCATGTAAACCTACAAAACCTTGTTAATAAGTAATGGATTATCATGTAAATCAAGAACAAATGAGAATCTTTTTATGAATACATGCACCAGAAGAGGAGTCTTAAATCAAGAAAGGCTCTAACACGCAAACTCATCTAAAAAAAAGCTAAAGAAAATCTGGGACATAGAAATTATTCAGAATTGAGTTTGGAATCAGAAAGATATGTATCATCCAGCAGCTGTTATTTTATTTTATGCTGCCAATAAAAAGAGTCCAGGCAACACCAGAAGCAAAGCTGTTACTTTATTTTATGCGGCCATTAAAAAGAGTCCAAAATATAAAAATGTGGCAACAGCAGAAGCAAATTAAATATTTCTGCAATTATATCCCAATATATATACTGCAGAGATGAAGACTTTTACTTGTAATCCTGATGGAAGTCTCAAACAACAACACTAGTAGATTGTGCATAATAACACACCCGTGATCATATATACTATATAACGCCTATACATGCATTAAAAAAAAAGGATGTACAGAATAAAATGTGCAAAAGGAAAATAGAAATTCTTAATATTGAATATATGCACTGGACCAATACTTTAGAAGCACAAGGATTAAGATCAGAAGAGCAGACAAGATATACTGTTTTGTGGCATAATTTAAATATATATATATATATATATCTTCCGTACCAAAGGAGTGATTATGTCCTCCACCGCATTCAACTTTCTGAGAGTAGATAATATATTTCTGGTGTAGCAGTTCACTGGTGTGGGCCATAAGTGAGAAGTAGCCTGGAAAGGTCATGAAACTGAAGGTATCAAGTGTAAAAGAAAGAAGCCTCATGTTTAAAAAGCACTTAAACTTTTAAGTTTAAAGTCATGAGTAGGCCTTCAAGGCTTCAACCACTATTTAATAATAACATCCCAATCAATAAATATATTTTCTTTTATTCATTTTGAGTGGAGCTTAAACAAATGAATTGAAATTTTGGCATGAAGGAACAAGACAAGTATTATTGATTCCCTTTTAAATTGTCTTCTGGTTGGTAAAATTAGTGATCAATTAATCTAATAATTCAAACAAAATATGTAACAGAGAGGCACAACTTTAGAGTACCTGGAGAAGAGACAACTCAAAAGAATGAAGGGCTTTCTCAAATGTAGAAAGGCAAGTGTCACGCCACACTAGTGTTGCTGATAAAATAGAAATGCCTTGACACTCATTCAACTCAATCTGTTCAAATATTATACATCAGAAGTGGCACCTGTTTATCATATGCTTCGGCAGCGTACTTTACTAACCTTGAAGGAAAATAAAACAAAAACAACATGCCTGAAACATTTGGGAACATAATTTGGTTGCATTTGCGAACATGCCAATTTACCTGGGGAATGAAGAAGTAGTAAGACCCTGGCTGATTTTTCATGATAGACAACTCTGTGTCGAAATTAATATCCACAAAACCATAAGCCATTATGGGAGTTGATTCATTTGAGAGATATCTGCAAAAAATTATGCATTATGCATACACTCTTTTAGCCTATTTGAATGAAGCCCGAGTTCATCTTTCGAAAATTCAAGTTAAAATACCTTGGAAAAAGCTGTAATAGGAGAACACTCGCACACACTCACAGACGAGTACATTAAGGGCGCATTTACTAAACCGTAAAGGAATGTGATGGGAAAGGTGATGAGATTGAAAAGGAAAGTAAAGTAACAGGATTAAGGGTTATTCATTTCCTTTCATGTGTTTACTTGACTATTAGATGGTGTAATGGGAAACAACCCCATTCTCTTTTTTATGTTTACAAAAATTAGGAATGGCAATTTTATGAATGTAATTACTAAAATGTCCTTTTACACAATTAAATAATCATGATTGTATAGTAATTCATTAAGGGTAGATAAGTTAATTTAGCATTCATTCCCTTTGATAAGGAATCAATACTAAAGGGTGCAAGGATTGGTATTCTCTTTCCTCATTCCCTATATTGTGTGGGGCCCACTAAATCTTCATTATTAATTTTGTAAGTAAACATATTATTAGATGGGAAGGGGAATCACTCCTCACTTTCCCTTTCTTTTTGATACAAAGTAAACATGCCCTAAGTTTATATTAATCTTCAATATATTAACTTAGTCCAACATACAGAAGTCGCAACAACGATCATGGCAGCATTGTTAACCTCAATCGCAAGGATGAGCTGATCGGATAACGTCTTTTAACTGAACTTAGTTTATACATCTCTAATTTTGAGTTCTAAAGCTGTCAAGAGTAAGACCATATACGTAATCCAAACAACTACAACATATCTAAATAGATATCAATACCTAATCACCCTGGCAATGACAGAATTGATCTAATAAATTCTAAATTACTGGGTAGTACCCTCACACCGGTTGTGAAATCAAAGGCTTTACTAGCAAGTAACGAGGATTAATTTGTGAACAAATTAGTATTAAAATACTGCATATTCCAATGTTCAAGCGTTTGCAATCTGAGAAGAATCAAACAGTTTTCTTTTGTACTGGAACGCCAACTTCATTTTTCTTGTGAGAAAAAAATTAAAAGCAAAAAAGAGAAAGTCAATAATAAAGCATAGACCTTTTGGTCTGAGTCCGGTCTCCACAGGCAGAAGAAGAATCCCGCGCAAAGTAAACAGCAGAACCTATCCCGAAAACGCCGCGAGTTTCATTCAAAAGCAAAGATTTATAACTAGGATCGTTCGTCTCCTTCGAAAGGAAAAACAGAGGAAAAACAGCTGACGACTCCGGCTGAGAGCAAAACCAATTCAAAGCTTTCGCGCTCGGAGGCACAGCCACCTGCGAAATTCAGACTCAGAAAAAAAGAAAAATCCAAAGAAGGTTGCTTTATCAACAAAAAATGCAGAATTCCAAACTAACCTGAAATCTCAAGAATCCGCTAGAGGTTGAAGGAGGATTTAGCTTTAAGTCCTCGACGGCCTCTCTTATCTTCTCAATCCCCTGCTCAAGCGTCAACGCCGGGGGCAAAGCACGAGTAATGCAGGTCTCCACCGCCAAATCTCCGTCCTCCATTTCCGAGACCTCGCTGACTTCGACCGCCGGACCGTCGAATCTCATCCCTCGGACGACCTAATTAGGCGAAAACGACCGGAAGATAAGCACAAACAGCAATCATAATCCAAATGCGTAAACGAAAGATAGATGAAAAACAACGAAAAACTAGGAGATTTGAGAGGGACCTTGCAACGAGGGTTCCGAGGGAGGCGGAGAAAGCTCCGGCAGAGGAACGGCAAAGGCGGCGGCGGCGTCGTGCATGGGAAGGACCTTCTGGTACGGAACTGAGCGCCTGAGCGAGGAAGAAACAGAGTGGTTTTGAGAAGCAGAGCTTGAGATTTCAAGCTCGTGGACATGGCGGGCAGTTGAAGATGAAGAGTGAAGAGGAGGTGGTGCCTCTGGATTCGGAAAGTGCTGTTAATTTGAAATCTTTAATAGCTGATACGTTATCGGAAACATGCTCCAGACAGTTGAAGAAGAGACAAAAATGAATAAATAAACAAATAAATATATAGGGATTTTGCATTTGGATCCCCAAACTTTTTAACTTTTGTCACTTAAGTCTTTATCTTACAACTTGAACAAGTAAGTCCTCCAACTCCATTATTTTTTTATATTTGAGTCGCCACTTTGAAATTTTGGACAACTAGATCTCTAAACTCTATAACAAAAACATTCTTAACACTTGATCCCATAACCATTATAAAAGTTTTGAACTCACATGAAAACGTCGTATTTGACGAAATGACGACAACATTTTACTTCAATTTACATGTTGTTTATTAGGCTAAACGACAATAGATTTAAATCATGCAAATTATTTGAAATCTAAATCATGCAAATTATTTGAAATCTAAATCATGCTTTCTACTTAAATCGTTAACGGTAACAAATCTTTTAAACACAATTAACATGTTGTTTCCAACTAACATAGACTACGGGATGGAATACATGTCGTTTTAGATAAATCAATACTATATTTCAACGTATAAACTGTTTGTTATTATTATTATCAAATGGAAATAGAATTTGTAATGTTTAGAATATGTATTTTCTACTTGTGAACGATACTAATTTTAAACTTTAAAGAACAACAAAACAAAGTATGACGTAATGCACTCATGACGAAATGTCAATTAGAAGATCTTATATGGATTGAGAACAACTTTTGAATTTAAAGGAACATGTCATTTATTTATTGAAATAAACAAGGCGTAAACAAATTGTTGTTTTCTTGGTGGACGACGTCAAAGCTTTACTTGTGCAAAGCAGATCGTCCTTGCATATAAACAATAGCTTTGAACCTAAATTATAACATGTCATTTACTAAAGGTAAACGAGAAAAAAAAATGTTAACTATAAAACACATGTGAACAACATCATGATCAAGCTGTACTCGAGGACAGCACGGCATTCTTCCACATAAACGACATCAGACTTCATGTCAAAACGACATGTCGTTTATAGACTCGAAAGGCACGTATCATCTTGCTTGGTGTTAAACTGCGAACTGTTCATTTCGAAAACAAATAAACTGCGATCCTGCGAACTTTTCGTAAGGAAAGGCATGCCCTTCTAAACAACCCATGTTAATCTACCCAAAAAAAAAAAAAAAAACAGTGTTCTAAACTAATAGTCAAAGTGGGGAAATTTTATATAAGTGAGTGATAATTCCTTTGGTACTTTTTTTAATAATAATTATGTTGTTTTTTTTTAATACTAGTTTAGGCATGTGTGATGCACGTGTCTAATTGTAATTAAAGTATTTATAACGCAGAATTAAAAATAATATGCAAAAAAATAAGAAGAAAAATTTTACTTAAAAGTTTAAAAGGACAGTGAGGATATCTTAACGGTAATTTCATATCTAACTATACCACAAAGTATAAAATTTGAATCCCACACCCCACTTTTTGGGGGGAGAAAAAAAAAGGTAATTGTTGAAATTAAAAAGTTACATTATAAATTATAAGATAACCAAAAAAAAAAAAAAAGGAAGAAAAAATTTACTTAAAAGTTCAAAAGGATAGCAGGCATATCTTAGCTATAATTCTACACCTGACAATAAATTTTAGAAAAACAAAATGAATATATGTCAGTAATAATTGAAATCAAAAGGTTTCATTATTTCATAATATAAATACATGAAGCATTATAAATTATATATAAGATAACAATGTAAAAAATAAAGGAGTTGAAAACTAAAAAGGAAATGAAAAAAGTATGACATCTGAAACTCATTGTTTTGGAATAATATGGGATGAACATAAATATAAGATAACGAAACAAAAATAAATAAACGAGTTGAAAAAAGAGAAAAAAAAATTTTTAAGCATTTAAAATTCAGTGTTTTAGACTATCATAAGATGAACACTAACCACATATCAACTCTTTTATATATTTAGGAATTAGGATTCAAAATTTAAAATTGGGATCAGGATTAGGATTTAAGATTTTATAGAGTGCAGAAAACAACAGCTAAAACTAAAAAGAATAAAAGAAAAAAAAAAGAAAAAGAAGCAAAAGAAGCAAAAGAAAAAAAAGTAATGAAAGCAAAAAAAATAAAACAAAACAAAACAAAACGTTTCGGGCCCGTTTGTTTCCATTTTCGTATTCGTTTTTCACGTTTTCTGAGAAGAAAAAATAAAAACGGGAAATGAAAATGTGTTTGGGAAGAATCCGTACCAAAACCAAAAACAAAAACGTTTTTGGATTTTTCCCAAAAACTCATTTTTTCTAAAAACGATTGAGGTTCGTTTTCATTTTCTCGTTTTCATTTTCTTCGGTGTCAGCTTCATTGCCTTTCCTTTTTGTCTCTACAAGCCCGACTTCACCGGCGATGGGTGATCCTCCAGTGCCGGTGAAATCCCTGGCGGCCTTCCTCATACGACACCATTTCGATCAACTCAGCTCCATCACTCACTCCCCGGACCCCAAGCTCCATTACCCTCTCTTCATCAAGTAAATTCCTTCCCTCTTTTTCTCGATTTCAAGTTTTCTTCTGATTTATCTCTATCAATTCTCCCTCTATTTTCAGTTTTACGAAGCTTCTGCAGGACGATCCTCCGCTCGCTCGTCTCGTCTTCTCTCAACCCACCGAGTACTTGCGGTTCTTCGATGTTGGGATCGATGTCTGTGGTTCTCCCCTTGAATGTGCTGGTAATTTGTGTTTGTTCAATTTTAGTCTGTCGTTTCTGTGTGTATTTGCTGTTGTTGAGCTTCTTCTTGTTGTTGACACACGTTTTCATGAATATTAATGTTTATTAAATATATTTATTTAATAAATTATTATTTAATATTATTATTTATTCAATATATTATTAATTTAAATACTATTACATGTTTTTAAAAATTAAACCACCAAACACAATTTTAATTTTTTTTAAACTGAAAACAATCTCGGAATAAAACTACCAAACGCATTTTCAGAAATGATTCCAAAATGAAAATAAAAACGTTTTCGTTTTCATTTTCATACAAAAAACAAAAACATTTTGGAACCAATTCCAAACGCACCATTCATTTTTGATGACGAAAGCGTATAGGGAAAAGTAAATGAACTCAACTTTTTCCTCAACTTTATGAGTTTAGCAAATTAATTCTTATTTTATGTAATTCATCTCTTAAATTTTAAAATTTATTGTATTGTTAGTCAAATTAAAAATTTAAACGGTAATTTTCATATGAGTATTTAATAAGAATAATTATGATATTTTTGCATTAAATTGGACCCTTTACACACGCCATAAATGAAAAAAAAATTTAAATTTAGGGAAACCCAAGTTTTTCTCAAAAGAGCTAACTCTTAATTTTAAATAAATTTTCACTAGTAATGTATATATGAGGATCAATTTAATACAAAAAGATATTAATTATTCTTATTAAACACTCACGTGAAGAATATCGTTCAATTTTTAATTTCATTTTTAATTTGATTAATATTACAATAAATTTTAAAATTTAAAAAGTGAATTGTCAAAAAAAAATTAAAAGATTAATTAACTAAACTCGTGAAATTAAAAGAGTGTCCATGTAAAATAACTAATGTTGTATAGGATTTAGGAAAAACAATTGAATTGCTTATCCGGAAAATAAAACAAAAGGAGAGTTTTCATCGCATTAGGAAAAAGAGAGTTCCGAAGAAAAAAAAAACCGAGATGCTACGAGCGGTTGGCACGTGCTTAATTTTGTCACGGTGGAGCATTTCCCTCCACAACCAAAGCCATAAACACCGCCCGTACGATCCACGTGCCCAGCTGCAAAACAAGACCCTCCCCCCTCACAATAACTCACTGGGCCCACATACGCAGAAAATTCAAACGTCACGTCATCAGAATCTGCTGACTGGGAGGACTTTACAAGTGCCACATCAAACCTAGGATGAGTCGAAATCTGTGTGGGCCATCACCCGCCACGCTCCCACCACAATTTGTCTTCTTCCCAGTCCACTCCCCTCAAAATACCCACCTCTCCCTCCAAAAACCAAACTCCACGAAACCCAAGCCGACTCTTTACAAGGCTATTTTCGTCTTTTCGAAACCCAATTTTGACCACGTCTCATATACATATATGTTAAAAAATGAATCCCAGATTCAGTCTCCAGTACTCTCCGCCATGGCGTCTACCGTTAAAATCCACGCAATCCCTCTGCTCCTCATCACCCTCCTCGCCTCCGCCGTGGCCGGAGCAGAAGACCAAACATCGACGGAATGCTCGAACTCCGGCGGAACCTGCCTCGACAAATCCAAGGCCCTAAAATTCAAGCTCATCGCGATCGCCTCGATCCTGATCGCAAGCCTGGCTGGCGTCTTGCTCCCGCTCTTTACCCGCTCGATTCCAGCTCTTCAACCGGATAAAAATCCGTTCTCAGTAGTGAAAGCGTTCGCTTCGGGAGTGATTCTCGCGACGGGGTACATGCACGTGCTGCCGGACTCGTTCGACTGCCTGAATTCGCCGTGCCTGCCGGAGACGCCGTGGCGGAAGTTCCCGTTCGCAACTTTTGTCGCGATGCTGTCGGCGGTGGCGACTCTGATGGTTGACTCGTTCTCGATGAGTTATTACCGGAAGCAATTTCCACGACAGGTCGCCGAAGAGGAGGCGAAGATTAATGGGGGATCGGAAATGTTAGGGCATGTTGGCCATGGACACGGGAAGGTTGAGGAAGGGGTGTGCGGAAAGGGCTCGAACTTGATACGACACCGTGTTGTCGCTCAGGTATGGATATAGTTACTTCGTTCTTTCTATAAACACATATTAATATCTATGTTTGTTTGTTGAAAAATGACATATGTTCTCGGTATTATTTTATTTACAATGTTATTTTCTTTTGTTGGTTTCCTAAAATATTTTAACTTATTTGATTAAAGCTGTAATATATCATATTTTTGCACTGTTATTCCCGGCTCATGAAGTCTTCATTGAGCTGCGAATATAATACGTCGACGTTTATGTTACAGTTTTGGCGAGGTTTTGAGGTGACGGCGTACGTATGAATACTTTTTGCAACATAACGAGTAGTAGTGTAACGTTGTGAAAACATTTCCATAAAAAAAAAAAAAGAAAAGACTTTTTCAAAACATTCAAAAGTGGGAGCTATATTTCCTTCAGGTCTCTATTTACATTTTCTCTTTTTTTTTTAAAGTAATTTGTGCATACTTTTCCTAATTGGCTATTTTTGTGATCGGTCATTATATGATAAGAAAAATGGTAACGGATGCAGGTATTAGAGCTAGGGATAGTGGTGCACTCTGTAGTAATAGGTTTGTCAATGGGGGCTTCTGATAATCCATGCACAATCAGGCCACTTATTGCTGCTCTTTGCTTCCATCAACTTTTTGAAGGAATGGGCTTAGGAGGATGCATATTGCAGGTATTTCACTTCTCTGAATATAGGGTGTGATTTTAATGATTATTTTAATATATATTTATGTATTTTATTTTAATTGTAAGATATTAATTAAACTGTTGTAATTAATTTGGTAGTTGATTAGAAAAATTTTATGAGAATGAATGAGATTAGATTACGCTGTGTTATTAAATTTTTATATTATAAATAAAGCAAAAATAGCTTCCTTAGAAAGTAAATCATGGAAATCTGCAATCACATAATAAGTATTATATAGAGCAATGTCTAGCTCAGAATTTGCCGAGACTATTCCAGTGAGTCCTCCTATTTAATAGATAAGACTGATGGAAATTTAACCATTTAAAAATCATTCATATTATATAACAATCCTTCCATTTGTACCATCTCAATTCTCATATAATCATGAACATTGCTTACACGTGTTGGAAAATAACCAGGCCGAATACGGGATCAAAATGAAAGCAATAATGGTATTCTTCTTCTCATTCACAACCCCGTTTGGTATTGCATTGGGAATTGGATTATCAAATGTCTACAGTGACAACAGTCCAACGGCCCTTATTGTGGTGGGTCTACTAAATGCCTGTTCTGCTGGGCTTCTCAACTATATGGCCCTAGTGGAGCTGCTGGCATCTGATTTTATGGGCTCTAAACTTCAAGCAAGTGTGAAGCTCCAAATATGGTCATATTCCGCAGTTCTCTTGGGCGCAGGAGGAATGTCATTAATGGCAAAGTGGGCTTAGTAGATTCAGAATTTTTTTCTTTTTTTTTTTTTGAACAAAAGTTTTGTCTCCAGAGGAAAGGAGAAGATTGATCAATACTGAAAAATTCTATACCTTAAAGATTAAAATGTTATCTCAGTTTTATTTATTGTGCTAAAGGGTGAGGATGCCAGCTAGTTCGGATGTTCTAGTTTCTCACGATTTTAACCATCTATAAATGTGAGCGAATTCTCTTATACACAATTGAAAGCCACATTGTTTTAATTCTGGCTCGATATAGGTTACTTATGTAGTTTTGCCCGCCAAAAGTTGATGTTTGAGTCGGGTTTTGTGAACCACTTCAGGCCAAAGTGTTGTGACAAATCGTAACGCAAGTATACGCTATCGTAATCAAATAATATAATAGTGAATAAGAATATCGTCCCACGATGATTGTTGTTTACTAATTACCGAAATTATATTAACCCTAATTTTATTTGAATACTTGAAAAGAGAGTTTATAAAATTAAGTAAGTAAAACTAAAATAATTAAATAAATTAAACAATGCTAAGCAATGGATGAAAATTCAATAGATTAAGATTCTAGGGTTTCCAATTTCACCAAATTAATCATGTTCAAATTCTCATAATTCAAGAAAATTAACATTCAATCCTATACCGATAGCAATTTCTCTAAAGCAATTATTATTCTTTCTCAAGCAACAATAATATTAATCCAACAAGCAAAATCTACATCTCTGTCAGACTTCTAAACCTGTTGAAAATCATTAAGTGCAAGAAATTCAAAAGAACTGCACAAGCATCATAAATATCTCTATCCTATGAACAACTCATGGTATTTCAATTAAGAGCTTATTCAATTATCACCTCTCAGTCTCAAATCAAATACAAAATCATGTAATAGTTGGCCAAACAATCACAAGCATTAAGAATAAATTGAAATACTCAGCATATATAGATTAAACATCAATTACTTAAAAAGAAGATTGAGAATTCAAACATTCATAATCCGGCTACATCGTAGCCCTAGAAAAAGGAATTAGTTCATCTCTAAACAAAACAAATTCCTAAACAAAGTCTTAATCATTGGAAAGGAAAGAAAAGAACTAGTTTGGAGTTGAATTGAAGCGTCTCCGTCTCCGGATTTGAGCCGTTCTTCTTCTCCGTCCCAATTCTCCTTTTCTTCTCTTGAATCTTCTCTCAAAAGCCAGCCGTCATTCCACAGTCTAAAAGTCTTCTTTCTAATTGCCCTAGAATCATCTATTTATATGTTTCGGAGCATTAGGGTCAAAACGGATAAGTTTTCACGCGATTGGCCTTCAAAACGCGTAATTTCTCGCGTCGTAGCGCTGCGGCGCTGAGTTTCCAGCGCTGCGACGCTACTGTGTCAAATGCCTGGGCGCTGCGGCGCTGTAATGGGCGCCTAAGCGCTGCCCATTCTGCCAGTGCACAAATTCTGCCGGATTTCAGCGCCGCGGCGCTACAAACTGGCGCCAAAGCGCCACCAGTTCTGCCCAAATTGTTGATTCCGTATAACTCAGCGCCAAGGCGCTACAGATTGGCGCCTAAGTGCTATGATTGCTGTCTTTTTCCACCGAAATTTGTCCAAAACCTTCCAAATCATAGACTTCCACCTATCCTTCAAACAAAGAACGAAAACACACATAAAAACTAACAAAAACCTCAAAACCAACTAGATATTAAGTATAAAACGATACCAAATGAGCGAGTAAAACTCACTCATCACAAAACAAAAGATGAACCGTCATGTTCGAAAAATAAAAAAATCATACATTCCAGTTGTGAAAACTGAAAAGAATCTAGCTCTAAAATCATGTTCATCATGCTAACATATTTCAAATTACCATCGCACTCATAAATATTGATATGTTTAGCTGGCTAAATAAAAAATGTCAAGTTTAATTCAGGCCTAGAACTTAAGTTTGTGAATACTTCTGAAAGGAATTGCTCTGAATTAGTTTTATATAAACCCGATCAAACTAGATACCGCCACAAGTAATTGCTGCCAGCTTAAAAAGAAAATGAAAATATAAAAAGGACATGACCATTTATGAAACATTTGAATTTCCCATTTATAACTAGAATATGGTCATCTTTCAGAGTCTGAACATTGGATCTGTATGTTTCAATTACACACTTTCAAAAAAGGGCATTCCCCACTCATGTTTTACTTAGAATTCAGATAAATATATTATCAATATTGCCAAAATATGTATTCTACGGCTGCATCCCACTAAAGGTATTACTAACTTTAATTAATCATGTCATCTAAATCAGACAATGCTTTATAAAGTGAGTGTAACAGTGCAACTCAAGCAAATTTTGTTACAGTATTTAGTCCTATAATATATGGATCAAATTTCATGACTTCAATTAATGCACTTTCCATCTTAGAATCCTGTATTTATATGCTAAAATGACAAGTTTAATAAAATAAACAAGAATCATGCTCCAAGAAAATATCTCCTTCAGCTATTTACTGAACACGGGTTGATTCACATTGCTGTGTAATTACGATTGGACGTAAGGCTTCTCTAATTAGCTTTACCACATCTTTTTCCTTTCTTCCAAAGCTTTTGACACATTTTTAAAAGAAAATTAAGATCATTACATTGCTTATCAATAATTAACAAGTGAACTTTGGTCATTTCCTTTTCGTTTGCTTTTTTTGGTCATAACCATAAAAAGGTAATCAAAGACGTTTAAGGTCAAAAGGAGGTTTGATGGTGGGGGCGAGAGTTCTCAAGAATGACACGAGTGTTGGGAATACTTTAGTAAGTCTCGCCAATAATTTAACATGAACCAATTTGAAATACACACACACACACACACACACACACACACATATATATATATATATCTACTAATTATATATTCTCCTAAGGATGTAGATGAGCCATGTCATTAACACTAGTGACCGCATATAGGAATAGTAGACGTTAAAAAACCATAAAGAAAGCCTCATATTGTGGTTTATACTTTGCTCCTTAGAGAGAGAGATGAGAGAGAGAGAGAGTTGTCGCATTCAGAAATGGGGAAGGCAACAGGCGTCAAGTGTCTCAAAGTGCAATAAAAAAGACACTCATTGCCATTCAAGACCTCATAAAAGTTTTATGGTCTTCTGATGAGTGGCTTTGGTTTGCCCTCATGTGAATATGCACTTTGCTCTCATTTATATGATATTTTTAGATCAGGTAGATGTACTCTATTTCAGCCTTTCAGGAGGAGTAGTACACTATCTCCTGCGTCGCACACCAAGTTTTTTTTTTTTTTTTTTGTATTATTATTATTATTATTTGGTCAACAGGTGGGTTATATGATCTATCATCCTACTCTAGAACTCCCCTACTAATTTCTGTATGTATAAATATCGGTATCCACACATAACGTAGACAAAAGGAAAAAAGAGAATATATATGCGTGATGACATGCATAATTTTATATATTTTGGCACGAAAAAGAAAATTGTCAATTCCTTCAGATTATGTGTTGGGTAAATGACTCAAATTATAGTTTTAAGAAAGTAAAAATTTTGTGTTTTTTGAGTAAGTTATTGTTTTTTTGTTTTTGGACAAGGATTATTAGGAGTTTATAATGAGTATTTTGTGTAAGGCTTTATGTGTGCTAGAGAAAAGTGTAGACACAGAGTGCATCATTTTGAGAGAGAGGGAGAAAAGTGATGAGAGAGATAGGTAAGGGTGTAAGAGGTTTTGGGTAGAGAGAGAAAGTGAGAAAGTTTGTTGAGTGTGTAACTCTGAAACTGTTAGTGAATTTTTCTCCTTCTTCCATGGACGTAAAAAAAATTTTCAAACCACCTAAATATTTGTTCTCTCTATTTTTCTGTTATTTTTATTTCAGTTTATTTTTCTGTTGTATGGATGTAGGGGTGTGTTTTTTTTTTTTTTTCCAAACAATATGTATATGACTAAAGTTTATGGATATCCTTCTCAAGAAAAGGAAAAACGAATGCATGATACTAAAGTAAGAAAATAAATATGGAATTGACACAAAAAAAGTATTCTTCAAGAAAGTGATTTTAGATTGAAAGGAATGCATAATGCAAAATTAAGAAAATAAATATGAATTTTGATTAAAAAAAGATTTGTTCAAGAATTTGGAATCATGGCAAGAGATAGTGATTTTAGATTGAAATGATCAAATGATGAGATCGACCAACTATGACATCAAGTCCAAAATATGCAGCTGCACCATGGTAGAACTAACCCCACTTGCAGAGTTCATATAATGATTATTATTTATATATAAGGTCACTTGTGGGCCAATTAACTTAGTAATGGAGACACCAAAAAAGCCTTGAAATAGACATTCTTACACAATATATTCAATTAGGTTCAAAGATGACGATGATAAGCTCAAAGTATTTGCGCATTTCCACTCATTATATAAAATTATTATTAGTACTGCCGGTGCCGAGTATATGTATATCTATATATCTATATATCTATATATCTATATATCTATATATATATATATTATACATTATATATGGGGAAAGTATCTGATGTCATTACCAAATTGGCTAAGTTTTTTTTTTTGGTGGGACAAATGGTTGTGGTTCTGGGTACTTGGGGAGAATCCCTTCTTAATCATTCTCATAAGAAATATTTCTATATTGCAGTGTACTGAAGATGATTTGCTAAATATTATTCTCTTAGGTGACATTTAGTTCATGGGTTTAAAATCATGATTTATGATTTTAATTTTTGAAATTTAAATTTTTTATAAGAAAAAAACACTGTAACAAAACTAAAAATCACAATCCTAAACCAAACAGAACCTTTAAAACAAACGTCATCTTAGTCTCCATTCGTTTTACACTTAGGTGGTAAACATATGAGAATGACTCAATGGGAGATCAGCAACCCAATATATATAATAATATTTAAACAAATTTAATCTGGAGATAGAGAACTTAGGTATATTACACACACACACACACATATATATATATATATATATGTATTTATGATCCATTGTGG